AAATGCTGATGTGAAGAATGTTTATATGTTAGCCACTACTGTCTCTTCTAAAATTTTGAAGGCAATTGCACTTGAAGAAGGATTTCATTTTGAAGTAATAAACAATATCTGTGTGCTACTTTTCTAAATATATTCCTGTATATACTAAAGGCACCCCACCAAAACTGACTTTTCATTAATTCATTTATAATCTCTTCATTTTTAAAAAATTTCTGATACTTGCTTAATATTTTTTATAACTTAGACACCCAGAGACAAATTCATCGAGTATGTGAATTTTTAACTGAGACAAGATTTTCTCCAAAAATTACGTTAGCACATATTATTTCATACAACATCTGGTTTGCAGATGGAAAATCTAGTGACTTCATCACAACACAGACTTCACTCCAAAAGCTTGTAAATGCCATCAATCCTTTGTTTAGATTCTTCAAGCATGGTATTAATAAACTTTTAAGTAGACTTCAAACTTGCAAACAAAAATCCATTGGTTTTACATAATAATAATAAGAAGAAGAAGAATGACTTTGTATCAACCAGATCATTAATGTTTGTGAACAGCAAACAGTTAAGTAGAACAATTTTGTACCTGGACTAAAGCCAGCTTTATTGCTTTTCCTCTACCATCTTTGCCAGGTGTCAGTAACTAAGTGTTACCCCCCAGGCATTTTCCTTGAGTCACACTCAAGCAACAAGTCTCGGTAATAATTGACTGAGTAAAAGAAAATTGTACTTGTTTTTATGAAATACAGCTTTTAATCTTAGACTTTCAAAAAACACCAAAAGCAAAAGATACTGAAAATTTATTCAAGCCTAAAATTATGAATTTCAGTAGTTTTCTTGTTTATATCTATAGCAAGAAAAGTAAGTGCACAAAAGAAAGAAAATAACATGATTCTAAAGATCAGTATTATAAATTTGTTTTGGTTTGAGGGGATTGCCAGAATTTTTATTTTTGGTGAAGGTAGAAAAGTGATTTAGGAAATTTAAGTTAGTAATGATGGACCCCAGAATTAGTGTGCATATGTTGACTCTAGAACACAGCATGTCTTTAAAGCTCATCAGATGAAAGTTCTCCCGAATATAATTATTAATGAATGACTTGGTGACTGTCTTGGAGGTTTTGTTTAGGTCACAGTGTTGTGGAAAGGTGTACTTGTTTCAAGCATAGGTTGTGATAATGTGTTACTTGGGGAGACTAAATCAAAACCTTCACAGGCTCTCTTATGTTAGTGACTGTAGTATGGCTTACAGGACAGTTTTTGGGAAGCAGTGTAATTGAAACCTGCCTCCATTTTGTATATGCTGCATCTTAGGCAAATTTACTTAATCTCTGAGCCTCTCTTCTGGCAACAGTGTTTATGAACATTACAAAAGATCATGCTTTGGGGCTGGGGCTGGGGCTGGGGCTCAGCGGTAGAGCACTCACCAGGTATGTTCGAGGCAYTGGGTTTGATCCTCAGCAACACATAAAAATAAATAAATAGATAAAAAAAATTTAAAAAAATATCATGCTACTATAGTGCTATTAAGTACCTATTATAGTATTTAGTAAATAGTACTAATAGTACTTAACAAATAAATATAGTACCTATGTTTTAGATAATAATATAGGTATAGATTTATTTTACTTTGTAACTTCATTGTCCCACATATAAATATGGGATATATTTTATGTAAATCATTTAGTACTGTATCAATAGTAGACCACCAGTAGTGGTAGTATGTGTGTTTATGGCCCTTTATGACTATATGTCTACCACTGTGTAAATCATTGTGGATCAAAAAGCCTAATAGAAGACCACTACTCAGGAATTATGTGCATTTATTGATAGATTTTTCTCTGTGTTTAACTAGAGTACCTTCCTCTGCATTTCAGGAAACGTTACCAGGTTTTAAATGGATTGGAAGTAGGATAAAAGATCTCCTGGAAAATGGCAAAGAAGTCCTTTTTGCATTTGAAGAGTCTATTGG